AATAAAAACTCTTAAAGTGCCTTGTAGCGTGGCAAACACGACGAAATTTCTTTCAAGTGTTAGTATAATTAATCTTTCATAAACCTATTTGATGGTACCTCTGAGCAATCTAATTATACTAAGTTCTTTTGTTTCATTACTATATAATTGGATTTGAGGAACCCGAAAATACCAAACAGGGAAAAATACATACGAGTGTAATAGAACAACATTAGAAGCCATTAACACAAAGATATCGAAATGAACAAAGAAAACACAACGAATCATAAAACGTATGGTCGTTAATTTAATAGCCATTACACATATATCATAATTGTAGTAGAAATAAGCTAAAAATCATTACGATATTTATAAAAAATATATATCATGATAATAAATAGCAATAGAAAGAAACTAACATTGAAATTGCTTAAAGTATGAGAAATAACAAAATAAACAATAATATTAAACATAAGTTTAATACCATCAGAGTCTAGTTTAAAAATAGTTTGTTGTTAACTCCTAGGATAATATTTAAAATAAATATGAATTTTAAATGTTAATGACAAAGGTAATGAATGGATTTAGAACTGACTGAGAAGGAGCAATTAATAATTGTTATTTATGAAACGTATAATAATTTATATTCAAGACAGAATTAATTAGTATATTAACAAGTGTGTGTATGTGCACTTATGGGGGTGATTGTGGTATGTATATAGATATAAGATAATTTATTATATAATAGGATATTATTTATAGTAAAATAATTGGAAAATTAAAAACGCTTGTAGAACCTGATGACGGAGCAAGACACCGAAACGTCGAGTGACAATAAAGTAGCAATAAGTAGATAATAAGAAAGTCATTTGTTCACCTACCCTCGTTAGGATAATGTTTCATTATCATAGATTATTTGAGTTTTTTTTAGTTTACTATTGAACACATATTCTTCAGTTATCGACAAAAAATTTCTTAGCTCAATAAGAATCAAGTCCAAAATAATGAAATTCAGGTTTGTCACAGAATAAGCGAAGATTGGACTTCGGTTTAATAAAAAAAAATTATGTGATGCGAAATTTTTTCTTCTTGAAATACAAGTGATTTTAGGAATAATATTGTATAATACAATAAATTATTATAAATATATCTTTTTGGTTGTTTTTTTTTCTGAGACCTGTTGTTTTTTTTCTCACATCAATTGCTAAAATAGACTTCTTACACATAAAAAAAACTTACAAACATTTTTTTTCAAGTAATGAATACATCGCATTGTCGTTCTAGAATCGTTTAGAAACATTTTTATCTTGTTTTTGTGAGCAAATATGTGAAAAGGCGTACGTTGCTGAAATAATTTAAGCGGTGTTTACAGGTTGCAAAAACATAATGATAATTTTAGTTTAGCTACTTTAGTTCCAAAGATATATTTAAATAATTATAAATTAAACGGCCCTGTTTGATCAGTAACTTAATTATTAAAATAAGGCGTTACGAGTACGGCACACAGAATTTTTTAATTATTAAAATATTCCTGTACCCATGTAAATAAAAATAATTTTTAGAAAGTTATTAATATAAGGCTAAAGATTAGAAAATAAAATATTAAAAATCTGAGAGTAATAGAAGTGCGCACTTAACAATAAGATTTGCAATAATAATATTATAAATAAAAATAATTCAATATTTACATTTTTATACTTGGATTCCTTCGCCTCTGATCCTCTTATTATATTCAACTATCAAATCCACACGAAGTCTTAATAAATACTGAAGTTAAATTCCTTTAGTGTTAATTTATATTCGAGTTTTGTTTACTTATTCACGGTAAACGATTAAACAAATACTACTTTGCAAATAGTTTATATAATTGTATGCAAGATCTGTTTATATTTTAGGCATTTATCGATATCATAATTCTAAAACACTGTAATCTAAGCCTAACTCACTTCCTATGTGCTCAAATGATTTTAGAAGTATCGAAGAAAAAAAAAGTTAAAACACGATTAAAAATATTACTCTCAGTATTACAATTTGAAAAAAAAAAAATAGGAGCTGCACAGCATGCTCACACAAGTCGTATTTTGTATATTTTTTTTTGGAAAAATATGTAAACTGTTAAACATTAACAGGAAACTAAACAGAATTTTTAATTTTTTTTAAACAGAATTTAATTTAAATTATTAATTTTTAAAAAACACTAACCTAATTCACATCCAAATGTCCGAAACCTTTAAACAATTTGCAGGGGCTGCAGAGGAGCGCAAATTCTTAAAAACTTGGCAAACAATGACAAGATGAGTGGGAAAAAAATTAAGATCCCTTAAAACATTTTCTTCACCAAATCAATTTGTCTAACTAATTTCAATCTTCTATTTGAAATAGGAGAGGTCATAGAGGCGCATAAAGCTTTAAAAACCGAGAAAAAAAAAAAAAAAAAAGAAAATAAGAAAATAGTTGGGACACCCAAAAGATATTTTTTAACACCAACATTATTTGCATTCAAGATTTTCAAATTTCAAACGTTGTTTGAAGTAGCTGTACATATGATCACTAGCGGATCCAGGATTTAATTTCGGTGAGGGGGGGGGGTTTCAGCCCTAAAGCATTTTTTTTTATATACATAACGATAATTACTTTAGAAAAACAGAAAGATACATATATGAAATGGTGTTTAAGTGCTTCTTGAAGTCCTATTAAATGTAATTAAACGAGCAATAATACTTTAAGACATATTTTTTTGATATTTTTAACCATAAAACACGGTTACATTTCACCATTTTGGGAAGGGGGGATTTAGCCCGATTTAGCCCCTCTTCTCTCCCCCGTAGATCCGCCTGTGCATATGACAGAAACTTTTGAAAATTCGAAAAAAAAAATCTTTGAAATTAAATAAAAATATATAGTTATATTTACATAACTATGTAAAACTATACTGCATATACATAATATATAATCTATATACATATAAAACTATATAAATTATATATATTTCAGGCATCCTCGAAACTTCTATATTTGTGTTATAGGAATAAAATGCGTGCCGATATTATTTCGAAAAAAATACGACTGACACCTCTCAAAAATTACTAAACAGTGGCCATGGTTTATCTCTGTTTGGGATATGTGGTATTTTATTTCGACTGTAAAAAACAGTAGAAACCATAGCACAAATAAAAAATATATTTTAATATTAAATAAATAAAACAAAAATTTGAAATCATGCCATTATATCGCTACTATTAGTGCAAATGGTTGTATGTACAAATTGATTTTTTTTTCCCCAAAATAGCATACAAACTGACTATTTCTTTATTATTATAATATAATAATATAGTATAATTTCATATTTTATTTTACTATACTGTTTTCCATAGTAGCAGACTATTTATTGCATTTGCAGACTACAAAACATCACCTTTATTACAAATAGATTTAATATAGAAAATTGTTAAATAAGATTTTTTTGTACTAAAAATAGCGGTATATTGGTAAAACGTTAAGAATAATATTAATATTCAGTTTTTATATTATTACTTACAACTTTCAGAATATGCATATCTATAAAGTTAATGCCTCAGCCCACTAGCGGATCCAGGATTTAATTTTGGGGAGGGGGCTTCAGTCCGAAAGCTTTATTTTTCATTTATATAACGATAATTACTTTAGACAAAAAAAAGAAAAATACTAATTACCCATATGAAATGGTGTTTTAGTAACTCTTGAAGTTATATTAAATGTAATTACACGAACAATAATACCGTAAAAGATAATTTTTCAATAAAACATGGCTACATTTTAACATTTTTGGGGGAGGGGCCTCAGCCCGATAGCTTTATTTTTCATTTATATAACCATAATTACTTTAGACAAAAAAATAAAAATACTAACTACCTATATGAAATGGTGTTTTAGTAATTCTTGAAGTCATATTAAATGTAATTACACGAACAATAATACCGTAAAGATAATTTTTTCAATAAAAAAATGGCTGCATTTTACCATTTTGGGGGGAGGCATCAGTCTAAAAACCTCCCCGTAGATCCGCCTGTGCCTCAGTCATATTAATAGGACATGCATCAATTAAAAGAAAAAAACATTCGTAAAGTGTAACCTTCCCAAAAAAATAAACATTATATTCAACATATGTTTAAACAATGAAGTATTTTTTAAAAATTAAATTACCTAACAACATATCTCCACCACTTTTTCAAATCAAGTGCGTAATATTGTAGTTATCTGACTATTTGTGGTATTAACCTCTTCATTTTAACCTAATATTACAATATTATTTATAGCTAGAAAGTTATGGTAATTATTATTTATTTATCACAAAGAAAATACAACAGTGTTTAGTTAAACAAATTATTATAAAATATTTTGTTCTTCTAAAAATTCAAGTATTTGAGTAAGTTTAGTTGTTCATAAATTTAATTGCCAATTAATAATAATTAAAAGAAATGAGGCTAATGATATTGATGATTATAAAAAATTTCATTGAAGACTATTATTTCATAAAAATACAATACATTAGGCATACAAAAAAATGTTTATTAAAATTAATGAATTCTAGATAAAGTGAGAAATTAATTCCCAAAGAGGGTATTACAAAGTGGCCCAACTTTTATTATTTGAAATAATTTTTTTATTCTTGAGTTAAAAAAACTTTTTTAATTTTCATTTATATAATACATGTAAATGTGCCTGATATTAAATTTTATAATAAAAATAATTATCGATGTTTTTTATTTGCCGAAGTAGCTAATAAAAGATAATAAGTTTTATTTTTAAATATTAATAAAACTGAACAGAATATTTGATTTGAATGAAAATAGTATATAAAATTATAATATTAAATTTAAAAAATAAATAAATGTACTACTTTGTATGTTCTGGAGGAATTAAAATGTTATTTTAAAATTGAGTTGAATAATTTGAAAATGAAAAATGAGGAACCCTCAAGACACGTGAGGTGAGAATTTGGCGGCTAAAAGAACACGTGGTAAAGCACCTTGTAGCTGCTGCTACCTGTGGCGGAAACAAGAGTTAGGCCTCGGAATGGCGGCATAGCGTCGTTTTGAGGTTATCCAAGATCGAGAGCTAATATCCAGTAAACGTATCTCAATAGGAGTTCTGTGTAGCTTCAATAACCAATTTCGAAAAGCTGAATAAAATGTAGAATTTAAATATTACCGGTGTGTACGCGGTATATGAGAGTAGCCATTGTTACTGACGGACCACGTGCTAGGTTTGTTTTAAGAAAAATGAGAGAAAAAAAGGAAAATCTACTTTAAAGATTTGAAATATACCATAAGTACATCATAAATAGCAATGTGACGGTTCTTACCTTGGTTACGGTGGCTGAGGAGAGCGGCGAGATGCGGTTCAGGTGTCCGTAACTGAGAGAGGACGAGCAAGGAGGGAGTGGGGGAGGGGCAGGTGGGCGGAGCCGGAGGCCGCTCGGCCCCGCCCACTCGTGACGTCACCGGCACTTCGCCGCTAGGCCAGTCGGGCGCGGACAGCCAGGAGCCACGGACGACAGATAGGCGAGTGATGAGACAGACGAGTGATGAGCGAGTGACAGTGTGTCTAGTGTAGTTGTCCGAGACATCATGATCTGACTCTCCCCAACAGCAACATGACGCGAAGGAAACAGAATTGCCCCAAAAGGATGAAATGTGAGTTGTAGAATTTTTTGTTGTTTAGTTTGTTGTGTTGTTACAATGTTGACAGGACACTACGAAACAGCCCGGTAAGTGATTGCACATTTCCAGTTACTTGTTAATGTGGTGATAAGCCATAACTGACAAGATGTAAGAAGGCGAAGAAAGGCGCCGGCAAATTCCGCTGTCGGGTCTTCGGTGGACAACAAACTAAAAACAAAACAACAATGGGTTTGTTGTATGATCACAACAACAATCACGTGGGTTCCGCGCGGCAATGTTTACTACGCCGACCCCATGCCGGCAGCGGCTCCGCTGCATTGAGGTGCTTAACCAATCCGCTATGACTTCTGATTTACCATTCATCAAACGTGCCAATCGAAAAAGTGCTTATGTTTATCGATAAAAACCATGGAGTAATCATCAATAAAAAATACACTACTAAAAACAGTAGATTCAATTATATTAAATGGTATAAAAAAAAATATATATAAACGAAATAGATTACCTTAAAAAGAAAATAAATAAAAATACCATATCTCGAATATTCCTGGGTATTAACACTATTCTAGAATTTTGCAATTTAAACAAAAAAATTTTAATTATTGATGAGGCTGTAATTAGTGTTGTCATGGGATGGTTAATTTTGATCATAGAATATTAAGTCATTGTACATAAAACGCCATATTTTTCGCATATTATTTCATTTGACATTGATTATAAAATAATAATCAACATATTGTTAATATATTTTCAAAATTTATTATTAATGCACTTATCAGTTTAAAATAGTCTTGAGTTAAAGATTGAATAAATAAATAAGTACATGGTTTTCTCTTATGATAAGTGGTGTAATTGGATATTACTTATTCAGAAGTTAATAAAGTAATTTAAGCCATTATTATAATTATATTAAAAATTTTTTTTGTTTTTTTATGTTCTTTTTCATAATAATGATAAATATTTCGGAATATTTTATTTTTTTGTTTTAATTAACGTGTAGAATTTTCAAAGAAAAATATTTATTCAATGATATTCCATATATATATGCGTTAAAGATTCTTCTGTGACAATGTTTATGTAAGAAGGGCCCCAAATATTTAGGCCTTAGCAGATACAAAATATTTACAAAGTGAGAGCTGGGGGTGAAGCAGGGGAGGGTTGTTGACTGAGTGTTGTCAGTTGTGGTCTACCCCGACATCTTCAACAGTCAAATCGTTTTTGTCATTGTCACCAAACACACCCCAATTAATTATTAAACACATTTTTCTAAATTTTTAATTGCTCAAAAAAATGTTTTTTTAATTAAATGTCATTACAAATGATTAATGTCAAAGATTCTAGTAATTTATTTGTATCTACACAATATGTAAAATTTAATTAGTAATACAGTATTTTAATTATTTCAATATAATCTGTAATCCAAATGAATCCGTTGATTGATATTTTGAAACCCTTTAATAAACCAATAATTGTACGTTCATATGTCAGAAACTGACTGAGAACGTAAATTCCTAAATTACAAAAAAAAAAAAAATCTGCACGTTTTAATTAATTACACATTTTACATGTGAATGGAACAGATATCATTTAAATTTAAACATTTTAAATGATATTTTTATATGTTTTCAATTACTAATTACTGAATCATTGATTTAAATACAAATAATTCTGATATAAAATAAAATGTACACCATAATATGCAAAAAGATTAAAGAAATTAAATTATATATTTTTTTAATATTATATTTTAATATAATAATGATCAATACCATTATTTTGTGCTTTCAGCTATTGTTTATTCTCTGATTTCATTTTAATATATATTTTTTATTATAATCAATGTAATAGAACATTTTAAACTGCAATGTAATTTATAATTATTATTCCTGTAATAATTACGAAGGTTTCATTATTTTATTATATGTTAGATACCTAATAAATACCTGTGAAATTAAAATCATAGTTTCTGAAAATATTTACTTAGTATCAATTTATGATAATATTGATAATGTCATTAATAATTACTGAAATGAAATTTTTGCTTTTTTTTTTCTATTAAAGCAGGATGGAATTTATTAAAAAAATTAAAATCAATAAAATTAATCAATCTATGTCATAGTAAACAGAAGTAATAATTCTGCAATTTTTAATACCTGTTAATAAGAACTGTATTTTGATTTACTGTATTTATTTATATATTTATAAACATATATTAATGAACCAAATAATTTAATTAAAATTTCTCTTTTCAATGTTATTATAATTTAATTAAAATTAATTTTTTCTATTTTATTAAGATTAATAAATATATTTAATGATGTTCATAAATATATAAAAAGAAATAATCACTCTGTCAATTAATTCATATTTAATAAGTAATAATTAAAAATTTGCAGTATTTATAATGTCTAAAAGTTTTAAGTTTAAATAAAAAATCAACAACCATAATTTGTTTTATTGAATTGAATTAAAATATTGCTTGATTATGCTATTAAACATTACATATATATATATATATCCTTTCAATTAATACAAAACACCCATCTAATAGACTATTCAAGAGGTTAAAAATAAATTTTAACTGTGGTGCCAAAATATAAAGACGTGTAGTTTTAGATCATGAAAATCGGAAAGGTGATTCATCAAAACTAAATATACTTCAATAAAATATTATATGTATTCATCAATATTCAACATTTTTAATATCTGATTTTAAAATTAATAATAATGAAGCCATATTGACTATGTCGATGATTCCGAATTTCAAATTACACTGTAAGTATTCTAAGCCAATTGAATTTAAGATTTGAGTTGATTAAGAAATATTACTTACTACCATATATCTCAATACTAACTCAGATTTATAATTTTATGTTATACTTAAATATAATAAATTATTAAAAGTAATTGTATTAAAATTTTATTATTCGAATATCGTGAATCATTTTTTATAAAAGTTTTTGTTTGTATACATCTGATGTTTATTTACATAAAAAACATTGAAACTGCGGTTATAATTGTTTTTCTGAAACTCATTATAATTTTAAATGTGCAGATATCAAAGCTATGCTGTTTACTGTTGCTGTAAAATATTTATTTTACATAGTAGAAAATAACTGTTGTAATTGTAGATTACATTGTTTATGCTGTAAAATATTTGCAGTACAATGGACGTTTCTATTTTTAGTGATATAAAGAAAATTAAAATAAATAAAAAGCAAAAAAAAAAATCTTACTACTTCTCAAATACAACTAATGGGTGAGTAACATAAAATTTAACATTAAGGCAGACAGACATACCGTTCCGAAATAATTTGTAGCCTGTTTTATAGTTTTGGGAGTTGTCCAGGAAAAAAAATACTAGACAAGCCATTCTTGTAACAAGGTTTTATTTTTATATATCACTCTTTTGTCGTTTGATTTTATGTAATATAAAAAAAAAAAAAAAAAAGGAACATTCATAACATCTATTTATTTATTATTCCATTTATATTATTAAAATATTTCTTCAGGTTAAGAGAAACATCAAATTTGATTTGACATATTTTCTTTGAATTATACCGAAATAATTATTCATTTTAAATTTTATCTTGTGTAAAATTTAGTTAAATCTTTTTCATTTATCAGTATTTAGGGATTTTTTTTCTTTTAAAAAGATATATAAACAGTCCCAAGTCACCTTGTCAAACCTTCACAAATTAATCTCGAAGATTATTCGGAGATAACAAAAAAAAGGTGTTCTAGTAATCATTATTATGATTAAACGATAAATACCAATGATCATTATTTTGGAGAGGATGTAAGCATATGCTTAGTAATTAGATTGCAAAAAAATTTGAATTACTGTTGATTAATAAATAATGAATAATTTTGATTATAAATAGCACGGAATGTCATAATTTTTTAATAATTCCATTATATTATTTTATGCATAAAACGGACAGGTTAAAGCAAACCGTCACTGAATCTGTGTTAACTACACATCATAATTTTTAAGAATTTATTTGAAGTGTAACTATGCAACAAAGATTTAAGTAAATCTGATATAAAATCATCTTACTCACATATTTATTTAATTAAAAATTTAAAAAGAAATTAATAAATTACTTACATATTAACAAGCAACGCAAGCTTCACCGTTTAGCGGAACTCCATTAAAAATTTTACTCAGAAGTAATTAAATGATAGATTGTAATAAATTTATTGCGTTATAATGCTTATATTTAATTGTATTATGTACTATATACCTATCTTATAGTAGTTTAAGAAAATCAACAATTCATGACAGAAAGTACGTATCATTAAAATATTGCGTTGTTAATTAATTGTTTGATTTACTTTTTATATTTCGAAACATTTCTTAGCCTTTTGTTTGTTAAATTGAAAATGTAAATAGATATCATGCATTTCTTTATTTTGAAAGAATTCCAAGCTATTCAAAATTATTATTTTGTTATTTTATTTTACATTTAAACTTAATACTTGAACCTGAACATAAATCATTAAATACAAATTTATGATTAAGTATTTAATAATTTCTATTATTGTTTGTTGATTGTATGGTTTAGTTGTATGCCAATTTACCAACAAGTTGAGAAAAATAATTCAATTAATTTTTCTTCGATCCAAATTTTAAAGATACCTTCTATTTATCAATGCTTTTATTACAGATTACGCCTTACGTAATAATCGTTTTAGGTATAACTTCATCAAGTAATTAGAAATTTTAAACTGAACTGAATTACATAGAAATATAATATTTTATTTATAAATACTTATTTATATTAATTACTTCGGTTATTTAAATATTGTTTTACAGACAGATACATTGTCAAGTAATCATTTTAAAGGCAATATATAATAATAAATTCTCCATTTAAATGAAACTAAATAAAATTATTGTAATACTGTAATAACGGCATTGATTAACATTCGAATGTTTTTTTTTTTCAAATTTTATTTCAAGGTTTGTATGGAGATAATTAGTTAAGTTTCTTTGTAGCCCAATATGCTAAATAAAAATAATCAACGAAATGAATTAGTCTACAGCAGTATGTGATTGTGGTAATAAAATTTGATGTACCATTGTGTAAAGATTTAATGGGGTCGCTTATTCATAAAAAATAAATAAATAGAAATAACTGTCTTGTAATTTTAAAAATAAATAATATGGAATAGAAAACGTACTATCAATTGAAGAACCGTACATTTATTTAAATAAAATGAATTTTATTATTTACTTAAGAGTATGAATCATCTTCATTCCTTTTCCAGTAAAAAATAAGTAATAAAACTAATAATATGATAGTTGAAAGCAG